TTTGTTGTGGTGGGGTTTTTGCAGTGTTGGGGTGAAACCCGGGGCCTCTTGCTAGCGAGGTCAGTCTCTACCACTGAGCCTCGCCCCAGCCCAGGGGATGCGGGGGGACTACCACGCGGGGACCCCGCACCCCACTCTCTTCTGTTAACACTCTATGTCCCTGGGAAGGGCTGGGCGGCGGCTGAGGTGGCAGAGCACCTGCCTGCAGRCCGGGTCCTGGCTCAGTCCCCTGTGCCACAGAACAGACTGTCCCTTGGCACGTGTGCACGTCCAGTCACCACAGTTCAGGGGCCAGTTTCGGTGCACAGCCACTGACCRGAGCCCAGCTTCCGGTTCCCTTAGTTGTCCTGTCCCAGGATCCCCGACACTCGGTCATCACATCTCCTCGGGCTCTGCTGGACTGCGGCCGCCTCTCTCAAGTTCCTATTCTTGATGGCATTGACYGTTTGAGGAATGCTGTGAGGGGCGTTCTGATGGGGCGGGGGYCCTGCTTCTGTCCCCAGAAGCACAGGGAAATGCAGGGGGAGGAAGGAAGGGGGGAAGGGAAAGCCTCCAGGGCACATTGTGACCCAGCGTATATTGTTTGAGGCCATCAAGTCCATTCACACCATTGGGTGGCCACCATTGTTCCCCTCCCCCACGGTCACCCTCCATCCTGCTCTTGTCACTGGGGATCTGACTTCTCTAGGGACCTCACATAAGCAGCATCAAACCCTGTGGGTCCTTGGGGTGGGTCTTCACGTGCATCCATGTTGTGACCCGGGTCAGGGCTGCATGGGTGCCCACGCCCTGTCATCCCTGGTCTGTGGGGGACGTTGTTCTGCCTTGGAGACAGGCGTCTGTGGCTCCTCAGACCCGCCTGTAGACGGGGCCTGTAGACGGGGCCTGTAGACGGGCCTGGAGTTGCATTCTCCACATCACAGGGAGCGATTCTGGTGCAGAGTCGGTGTGTGTGTGTGGCTTGTCCTGGCTGACCTTGATGACACTTCCCAGCACATTCTCCGTCACTGCCGGGCTGTGGCTTGAAAAAAATTGAGCTCTGTATTTTAATAGCTCTTTATAATAAATATTTAAATATCACTGATGTCTGAGCAGCCTTTCCAAGCCGTGCATCTCACGGGTTCCTGCACATTTGGAGGTCGGCAGCCTTAGGACGATTCCCTGTATGGAGTCGAGCTGCCCAATCGGTTCCTTCCTGATTTAAGAGCAGGATTTGCTGCCCCTCCCCYGACTATGTGGGTAATCAGAGTGGTGGCTCTGTGGGGAGCAAGGTGGCTCTGTGGGGAGCAGATTGTACCCTGAGTCGTGACCCTGCCTGGATGCAAATGTGCCAGTTGAATGGCTGATCACCTGTGCCTGTCTGAGCCATCATTTTCTCAATCAAGATGATTCTAATTGGTTTCGAAATCAGTCTTCTTGGCTCTACATAAACATCCACGTGTTGTTTTTGGTACTGGCAGTGAAAAAGCAGAATCCAAGCCAGCCGTGTTCCCTGGACAGGGTATCTGAAGGCCAAGAGTCGGCTTCCAGGAAGGGGTGTGTGAGACGTGTGTGTCCACGGGCACGGGGGAGGGACGTGTGGCCGGGGAGGGTTCTCTGCCTGGGAGCCGTGGAGCAGGTCTTGGCAGGTGGTTCCCAGGTGTCCCCAAGGCCCAGCGTCCCTGGCACACGGAGGCTGCTCCGGTGCGTGGTGAGTGAGGAGTGTGTAAGCTGTGGGTGGAGGAGGCTCGGCTCGCCTCTGCTGCACACCTGTCCTGGGTGGATCCCGGCCGGTCAGCGCCACCTGCTCTCTGCCCAGGTGTCCTGCAGCGCCCCGCAGTGGTTTCTGTAATCAAAGGTGCATGCTTGGTGGCTCCTGTCCCCAGGTGTGGCAGGCAGGGCCCCTCGGGGCTCACCTCCCACCCCCCATGCAGGAGCTTCCTGAGTAAGTTACAAGAGCAGGCCCAGCTGCTGCCCTGCTGTGGGGAGCTCAGGCTCCCGAGGGCCTTCAGTCCAGGGGCCACACTGCTGGAGAAGGAACCAGGGCCTCGCGCATGCCAGGCAAGTGCTCTACCGTGAGCCACACCCCAGCACCCGCCTTTTTAAATTCAATTTTGAGACAGGGTCTCACCTAGTTGTGAGTTGCTGGGGTTTGCGACCTTCCTGCCTCAGCCTCCCGGGTCACTGGGGTGACCACTGCAGGTGTGGCCCCCGCACGGCTTCCCTTTCCTCTTTCACACACTGGGTTGGGTGGTACCGTCCTTCGTCTCACTATGGGGACCTTCAGGCATTAATGTGCCGTAAACGAAATCCAGCCTGCGTGCTCTGCTCCAGATCCACCGCGCCTAGTTCCCTGTGGCCTGTGAGTGAAGAGGTGTTTGCATTCTTAATTTTGGGACCAAAAGCATCCAGACTTTTCATGACAAATGGAACTGGGGTTCTGTGGTCATCAGTGAACTCTCCCTGGCACGCACCACGCCACCTGCTTCTKTGTATTGTCCACAGTTGCTTTCAGGCCCAGTGGCAAAGCTGTTGTTGTGACAGACTGACCCCTTGCAGACCCCTGCCCTGGGCCACCATCTCCCTCCCAGGCCCCAGGGCCATCCTCATGGTGCACTTCAGGGGCCAGAGGTCTGGCTTCAGAATGGGGAGCAGCTCACTCCCTGCCAGGGAGCCCCACTTCTATTCTTTCCCCAGACCCTCTTCATTCTTTCCTTCCACCGCAGGGTTGCTGTCAAATTGGGGGGTGGGGAGAAAAGCCTTGTGATTTGCAGGCAGCTGATACATATTTGGCAAATGAATGATGAAAAATTCAGACTAAGGTGTGAGCGTCTGATAAGCCTGGCCCTTGTTCTCCCAGCCATGAGGCACTTACCGCTTCTCCCCTTCTCCAACAGCTGGGGGTGTCATTGTTGAAGAGGGATCATTTAAGGGGCCCTACCAGTTCTACTCGGTGGAATACTAGGGATCAATAATTTGGTACCAGGCTGTTCATTCACTCCCCATCTATAAAATATTCAAGGACACAAAGTGCATATGTTTTGTAATTTGTCTCGAAGGCAGAAAGAAAGCCCCGAGGACCTACTGATCAATAAAAATGCGACTTCCCTGGTCCTGTGGTTTGCTGATGTCTCTGAAGTCCTCTGAGGAGGAAAGGCTGGTGGCTGGGCCCGTGGGCGGCTGGAGCCCACCACAGTCCTGAGGGTCCAGGGGGGTGTGGCCTCTCACCAGCTCACTAGGTCGGCAACTGTTAAGTGACACCGTGCTGGTTTAGATACTGTGATGAGAGAGGCTTGGGAATGCTTCCCCAAGCGCAGCCAGAGTGCCAGAGTGTCACCTGGGGAACGGAGCACTTTCTCCACCAGCAAATCAATTCCACTTCGTCCCTTCTCCCCACACTTCCCACTCGGCTAAAGTGGCTTGAGGCTTGAGAGTGAGCACCACCGGGGACATTCAGGGGACGAAGGCTGAGTGTGCGTGTGCGCTTGTGTGCATGGTGTGCGTGCGTGCGTATGTGTGTGTGTTGTGTGTGTGCACGTGTGTTGTGCGCGGGCGTGTGTGTGTCTTTTAAAGTACTCAACCTCCTTCGCTGCATGAAAGAAGGTGAGAACAAGTCGGCAGCGTTTAAGGCTCTTTGTCAGCACAGAGCTGCTGGGGCACGTGGGGCACAGATGCGGAACGAGCCCCAACGCAGGTGAAGTGAGGTAGAGGACTCTGCTGGGCTGGTGGCAGCTCTGTGGCAGAACACTTGCCCGGCACGTGCCCCACACCTTGCTGACAGGCAGGAGCGGGGTGAAGGTTCCCGATGCCCACCTGCCACACCGCGTTTCCTGTTGGAGTAGAGTTGCTCCCTTTGGGCTCCAGGTCTAGGACATGCCGTGGCACTGCCTCTTCCTTTATAGGGAAGATGGCAAGGGGGGAGACTGGGGTTGGTGGGGACCACACGGCTCATGAGATGTTCGCTCCTGTCTTTAAGGACGTTTGTGAGGAACCAGCCTCAGTTCAAAGCAAAGCCAGCCACGTGGTCTTCTTTAGTAGGGGCAGCTGTGTGAGATCTCATTTTCATATTTTTTTCTCCCAATGTCAACTGTATGTGGAGGACGGTCGGTGTGGGGTGTGCTGAGCACACCCCAGGGGAAGACCAGGGTTGGTGGGGACGGAGTGAGGAGCGCATTTCTGCATCTCATGAYTTTTATTAAGACCCAGTGCTGAGGGCCATTACCAAGTAGGTATGACGCATCAAAATCTCCTTGCCAGCGTACCCCATGCTGCTTAGGACATTCGATGGGACATTGCATGTATGCTTTAGTAAGATGACCCTGCTCAAGGTGATCGAGGGTGGATCCAGGTTTGAGGAAGTATCCTGGTCCTTGGGTTTAGGGTGTTCCCGGTTTAAGGCGTTTCCCGGTTTAAGAAATTGGGTTTTAGGGAAGCTGAGGTTGAAGATTATGGCTGCTGGGATTAGGGTGTTCCTGCTGCTTGTTCCCGTGAGATAAAAATGGGATTTGGAAAAAGCCTCCTGGAGTAGGATTTGGGAAATATTGGGATTGCCCCTGAACGCGTGTGGAGGCTGGTGTGAGATCGGGAATAAAGAATTGCTGTTTGAACCTACAAAGCTGTGTGGTGGCTCGTGATTCTGTGCCAAGCCGAGACATTGGCATTTGGCAACCCAGCACTTTGCAGCTGGGCGCTGTGGCACCTACTTGTGGACCCAGCAACTTGGGAGGCTGAGGCAGGAGGATTGCACGTTCAAGGTCTCTGTGAGACCTGGTTCCAAAATAAAAAACAAAAACGTCTGGGGATGTGGCTCCGTGGTTAAGCACCCCTGGGTTCATTCCCCAGTGCCAAAAACACCTCAAACAAAAAATCCCATCCTTTCACAAATTCGTCTACAGAATTCCAGACACTGGACTCTCACGTAAAGCCCAAGCCAGTTCCTCRTGCAACTAGGAGCCCCTACATTGTCGCCACTCCTGCTTGGAGTGCCGGGGCCACTGTCAAGGTTGGGGTATCTTCTAGAGAAATCCCTTAAACTGTAATGGATGTTAAAGGCAGATCCGCCCCATCTCTGTCACGTTCAGATCAGCAATGACCAGAGGAAAACGGAAGTTCCGCCTGTTCACTGGGCGCCGAGTCACTGAAGAAATATCCAGAYTTGCCAACGTTCACTGGGCACTACCTGTGCCGGACCGTCCTGCCTCCTCAGCAGCCGGACCTCGGCGTTCCTGCATCCCACCCCCAGGGACGGCTCTTTCCCACCCATTTTCCTGGAAGGTGTTTCTGAGCTTCTGCTGGGCCTGCTCTCCCGACCCCAGGTCCTCTGCCTGGGTCTGGGCGAGCCCGGGGCGGTGGGGCGGGGGGCGGTCCCTGCTCTTCCCAAGGCAGCGAGTGTGCGTCACACCCTTCTGTTTCTCTGGACCCAGGGCCTGTGCCGGGACCCCGGTTCCTCGAGGCCAGATGGGTGTCCCTGTCACTCAGAGCCCTGGGCTCTCTGCCTGGCCCCACCGGGCTCCAGGYCCTCAGGGTCTCGGGATCCCATTCACCATCTGTGCATCTCCCCAGCGTCTGAGTGACATCTGGGTCCCGGGAGTGAGGCCCCTTCAGCCTCCCTCCCTCACCCCAGCCCCCTGGTTCTCCAGGTGCTCCTTTCCCAGCCCCGTTCTCCTTCCCTGCACCCTGGGGTGTGGCCTCAGCAGGTGCCTGGCCCAGGTCGGGTCCCTGAGTYGGCGGTGGCTCCGGGCTGGGCTTTGATGCGTTTCCTCGCGGGTGTCTGTGGCGGCTCCTGTCCTGGCCGAGGTCGAGGGCAGACTCTGGGGAGATGCTGTCTCCGTGGCCCGTTCTCCTCACCCCAAGTGCACACCAGCTGGTTCCCACTTACAGGTCAGCTACCTCCCCCCAAAGACGTCCAAGTCCTGCCCTCCCCCACTGGAAACAGGGTCTTTGCTGTGGTCAAGATGAAGTATCAGGTGGGCTCTGAGCCCAGTGTGTCCTCGTAGGAGGGAAGAGCTGGGGATGGAACCCGGTGTTGTGTCTGCGGCCAGTGCTCTGCCGCCCAGGTAGGCGGATGGACCCTAGAAGACAGAAATCTGGACCCTCCTTAGCTTTTTATCGCTGTGACAAAGACCTCAGAAAATCAGCTTAGAGGAGAAAAGATCTATTTCAGTCCACAGTTTCCAAGTTTTCGGTCCCCAGTGGCCTGAGTGAGGCAGGCATTGAGGTAGAAGGTGACGGGTGCGGCCAGGAAGTCGGACAGCTCATGAAAGCTGGGTACCAGGGAGGAAGGGGCCACTGCCCAGTGACCAGCTTCCTCCACTAGGCACCTCCCTCCAGTTCCCACCGCCTCCCAACCACACCATTAATTTGTGAATCCATCGGTGGATCCTGAGGGTCAGAGCCCCATGATCCATTCATTCCCCAAGAGCCGCACCTCTGAACCCTGTCGTACCCGGGACCAAGCCTCCACACTTGAGCCCGTGGGGGACACTCCAGGTCCATGCCGTCACACACACACGTACACATAGAAAAGTTCCCGTGGAGGGGGAGGCTCAGCAGGAGATGTTTCTACAAGCCAAGGATCACCAAAGACCAGAGAAAACCACCAGAAGTTCAGAGAGAGGTGGGGGACAGATTCTCTCTCAGAGCCTCCTTTGCGACACGTTGTTATGGCAGCCAGAGGCTACTAATACTGGACAGTCAGTCCCCCCACCCCCGGCATGTTTATGGTTTCATATCCCCAGTTTCGGTTATCTTAAGTCAACTGTGGTCCAAAAATACTAAATGGAAAATTCCAGAAATAGACAATTTGTAAGTTTAAATTGTGTCTGGGATGAGATCTGGCACTGTCCTGCTCCTTCCTGGCAGAGCTGCGAATCATCTCCTTGTCCAGTGTATCYATGCTCTATATGCTACCTGCCTGTTGGCAACCGTCCCGGCAGACTGTCATGTCACATTGACCATCATGGTRTTTAGGTGGCCTTATTTTACTTAATTGTGGCTCCTAAGCACAATAGTAGTGCTGCAAAGGGGGCACCCAGCATGGCAGACGAATTCTGGTCCTCTGTGGCAAAGCTGCAGAAAACAAGATAATATACAGAGGCGCATTCAGACATGCAGAGGGGGTCTTGGAGGCTCCCCGAGGATAAGGGGGCCGGCTGGCTGTTCTCTCTCCCCGCAGCCTGGTGGCCTTCTCTTTCTTTACTGAGTGCAGGGAAAAGGTCACTTCATCCTTGTCCCGGACCAAATGTCCCTTCCCTAACAATCCTTCTATCTCCAAGCCCTGGACGTCCTGTACCGGCCCTCTCTTCCTCCTCCTGGGATCCGTGCCCACTGGCCCACTGGCCCCTGGCCACYGCTCCACCCTTGTCTCACACCATGGGCATGCTGGGCATCTGTGTTACTGGGGGTGGTACCATTTTCCTCCGCCACAGACTCCAGGGGGCCAGGCTCTGCTCATTCCCAGGAGGGGGCTGGGCCGGGTGAATGCTCACTGCCTGGAACTGAAGGGGCAGACTGTGAGGCCAGGCCCTGAGCAGGCACAAAGGGAGACAGCCACCTCCCACCCACAAACCCAGACGGTTTAGGTGGAGACAGCTCCGCCCCTGTCCTGCCTCTGATATCCCCTATCTCTGGGTGAGGGGCCTCCCATCATCCTCTTGGCTGGGCAGGATGTGGTGATGACTCCCTCTTCCCTCCTGGCGCCCCACACCAGGGTGGCCCAGGTTTCACCCTGGGGGAGCACCCCAGGTTCCCACCACACCTGTCCCCCCACCACACCTGTCCCAGCCACACTTTGTAGGAGGTCACCGTGTGCCTGGCAGCCCTGGCCCRCCAAGTTCTTGACCGCAAAGGTCCCCCGCCACGCGCCGCGTTCCTGGAGGCTCCTTGGCCRAAACGACACGTGCGTGCGGTCGCGTGCTGCGCCTGGACTTCCCGGCGGCTTCCAGGASGCGCTGGCCGCACAAAGGGCCAGCACAAAGGGGCGGCTGTGCCGGGCGCGGGCGCTGGGTCCCGGGCCACCCTCCACCCCGCCACGCCAGCTGTGGCTCTTATCAGGAGGACTTGGTGGCACCGTGTGGCGCGGGGCGGGGACACCCGCTGGGGACAGCGCGGGCGGGGACGRCTGTGGCCGCGCCCTCCCGGCCCCTCCCGGCGAGCGAGCGGCGACCTGGCGGCTCGCACTGGGCCCATGTCCTCCGCGCCGCCGCGCCCGCCCGCCCCGCGCGCCCCCAGGATGAAGAAGGACGAGTCGTTCCTGGGCAAGCTGGGCGGCACGCTGGCGAGGAAGAAGAAGGCCAAGGAGGGTGAGTGCGCCGCAGGTCCCCAGGTCCCCAGGTCCCCAGACCCGCGCCTCCGCCCGGTTGGCTGCCYGCCGCGACCTCTGGGACAGGCCCTTCCTCGTCCCGAGACCTTTGAGGCCGCTGGGGGAGCCCCTTGGGTTCCGGCGGACTCAGCAAGCGTGGGTCCCCGCGTCCACCCGGGTCGAGCGGCCATGTGGCGCCACCGGCTTGCCCGTGAGCGCGCATCGGACGCCTCTGTGCGCAGAGCCGGCGGACACCAGCTGGGGGCCGCTGTGATTTTTTTGCGCGATGCCTGTGACCCGGTTGGAGGAGGCGGGAGAGGGGCGCGGGGCTCGCCGACCACAGGCCCTGAGGCCGCCAGCAGGGCTAAGGAGGCCCCCCGATTTTATGCTGTGCACCCAAGAAAATGATTTGGAAAACTCCGTCCCGCCTACATTTTAAACTTTTTTAGAGTTGGGAGGACTCTAACTTCTGGCSTCTGTCCTGTGCTGGGAGGGAACTCCGCCCCAGGGCCTCTCCACAGCTGCATTCCCGAGTTTCCCATTGTTTGGGGCCTGAGGTTCGTGCTTGGGGCATCGCCCTAGAGTGTGATTCCAGGTGGGTGGGAGGTGGGAGGTGCCTGCCCAGGATGGGAGGGGGCTGCTGCGCCAGGGCAGTGGGGCTCAGGGCTGGCTTCAGGGAAGGAACCGTCCATCGGGGTGCAGAGTGACTTCCCTCGGCCACCCTAGCCAGACTTCTCCCCTGAAAGCTCTTCCCCGGCCTCCCTGGCTAGTGGACCCCTTGGGATGCCTGTGGCCCCAGTACTCTCTCCCGGAACACCGGAATTCCTAGTGATGTGCCCTGGGGATGCAGGTGACATATTTACTCCCAGGGGAGGTGTGTCCCCCAAACATTCCTCCTCCCCGGGTTTGCTATACTTGTGTCCCATATTTAGCTCCAAAGCTCAGAGGTGGTGACGCAGAGGAGGCCCAGGGCATAAAATGCGCAGGTCAGCCCTGGTACTAGACGGCCACGCTGCAGAGCACACCGCGCACCACGGTCTGGTACCACCTTGCAGTCTGAGGTGTCCACTGAAGGTGCCTGTRACCCACCCCAGGGGGCGTGTCCCCCATGCACTTTGCCCTCCCCCAAGCTTCTCACCCAGCCAGACTCTCCAAGCCCAGTGTCCTGAGGGCAGCCCCTGTCACCTCCACTGGGTCTCCTGAGTGCTCCCAAGTAAGGTGCGGTGGCCACTCCCCCAGCTGTGCCCTGGAGGACCTAACCCTGCCTGTGTCCATCCCCGAGTCAGCCGCCCTTCTCTGCCATCCCCTCCTCTGGTGGTCGTCATGGTCCCCACCAGAAGTCATTTCAGTTCCCTTTTGTCCCTTTCAACAATCATGACGTCCTCTCCAAATTCATTCCAGTCCGTTGTTGATTCTGAAACAGGGTCTCTGGGGGCTCAGACTGTCCCGGAGTTCCCGGGCTCAGGCACCCTCCCGCCTCAGCTGCCCGCGGGCTGCAGTCTCTGGGGGTCCTGTCTGCATCCCTGGGGGTTAGGCTGCCTACAGAGTGCCCCGGAGGCCTGTGAGGGGCTGATGTTGGCTGGAGACCCCAAAGAACCAGATAAAGAAGACTTGCTCAAGGTAGAAAGGACGTGGAATTTTCTGGACGGCTGTGGTTTTCATAGGTGACTCATGTTCTTGGGATGTGAGGCACACAGGCCTGCGGTAGTGGACGGGCCTCAGGTCCCAGCATGRAGTGCCTCTCCCCTGGCTTTTATGAACCAATGTGTGCTGTGAGAGCCAGGGCCGTCYGGCTGCGTCTGGGTGCCCCACGGATCCCAGAAGTCAGAGCGTCCAGTGATGACCAGAGCGGGCAGCAAGGCAGCAGTGGGGCCAGCTGCTGGGCCTGCCTCTGTTCTCCAGAGTGTGGTGCCTGGTGCCCGCTCCTCACAGGGGGTCGCCAACCCTGATTGGTCTCAGAAGCCTGCGCCGAGGAAGGATTGGATTTGGAAAGTCCTCCTGTCTTCCGTGTGGTCCTCTGGGAAGAGGAGGGGAAGGCTGGGTGCACAGACTGAGTAATGAAGTTGAATAATGGAGAGTTGAGAGTTGCCAGGGCTTCTGCAGGCCCGTTGCCGGGGCAACGCGCCCTCCTGGCCCTGACTTTGGATGGTCAGAGTTTCTGCTCATTTGCCTACGGGGAGTAACCAGGGACGGACATTGGCCTGCCCGGCCACCAGCTGCACAGTCATCACCACTTCCTTCTTTGTTAGAAAGAAGAGGCGGATTCAGGGGAGGATGTGACTCTGTTTCCTGAGTTGAGGACCCTGGAGGGGAGGGGGAGGTGTGTGTGGGGGATGGGATGGCCCATGAAGTTCAAGGTCCAGGAGCCTGTGGGCATTTGACTCCACCCCAACTGGCAGGGTGGGATCTGTTGGGACAAAGGTCCTGCCCTGAGCCGGGAGGTGGCGCAGGGAGCTGGGCGTGCTGGGGCCGGTGCAGGAAGTGTCTGAGAGTGAACCCGGCGCGGTTCAGGCTAGGGTTCCACACTGCCCTGGTCATGTGCCTCCGGGCTTAGAAAAGGGAACCGTGACTAGTTGTGGGCATTCGGAAAAAAGGAGGGGACGCTTCAAATCCCCAGAGCTCCCCGCAGATGCTCTGGGATCAGAGGCCAGTGCTCGGCAACCCAGCTCAGCTTCCGGGAGGTCAGAGGACCTGGGGCAGAGGGACCACCCCTAAACCCTGCTCACAAGGTCCTGTGACCTGGGACAGAGGCCCACAGGTCCTGCCGGTCAGGGGCGGGGCCAGGCCCAGACAGTGGCTGTTTAAAGTCCCCAGAGGCAGAAACCCGCTCGCTGTGGGAGGCCCTGGATGAGAAGGGCCCTGACAGTCAGCTCCAGCCACCTGCCCTGCGAGTCCCTTCTGCTTCCTGGAGGCCCAGGCCCAGGCCCAGGCCTGCGTCCCCGTGCCGGATGCTGGACATCAGACACCCAGACTGGTGACCTGGTCAGGGCTTTCCGGAGAGCTCAGAGTAGCAGGGCCAGAGCGRCTGACCCGCGGGTTCCGCCCTCCCTGGAGAAGAGCATGGAGGAATTCCTCCTCCTAGTCCTTAACAGCCTACCCACGCGCAGATATAAGCAGTGTGTAAGAAAATGTGGTTAGAAACTCAATGGCTGCGGTTTCCAGAGCAGTTCTCGGTTGCAGCACCCTAAGTCACGAGTGGACACGGAGGCGACCTCACATCCGAGCCCCAGGTTGTTTGGGTGACGGCCTTGGGACGCCTCTGCTGGGTCGTGTGGCCAGACCACACTTAGGTGCAGGAAGCTGCGGAGAGCCGCGGGCCTGCCTTGCCACACACTGCCCCCTCTGTCCTCCCCCAGCGGCGCCCTCTGTCCTCGTGGGCACCCGGGGTGGCAGTGCTGTGGGCCGTGGCCATCCTGCTCRGCGTGTGGAGACCCCTGTTGTTTCTGTCTCTGTGTCCCCGTGATGTGGACATGGAGCCTCTCTGGTGTCCCCGGTCCATGGGCTCTGGGGAGGTGTCTTTTGCAGGCTGGGGTTTGTTCTCCGATTGTCGGTTGGGAGGGTGCTAAGTCCTTTACCAGGTGTGTGTTTTGCAGATATTTTCCCCCGGCCCCTGGCCTCTCTGCTCCGTTCTGATGCCTTTGAGTGTTGGATGAGCAGCTACTGCATCTCCTGTCAGATCTAAAGCCATCCCTGGGTCCCCGCCTGGTTGGACTGAAGGGTGGAAACACACCTGCGTTTTTCCCTGGAGGCTAAGTACCTTCCAGAGGAGAAGTCACAGCCCTGGGGTACACACTGTGGGTGGACGCCCAGGACACCGCTGGGTGGCAGGCACACCTACCTGCAAGGCGGGAAGTTCTACYTACCTGCAAGTTCCCTGCAGGGAGGAATCTCCCCTCCCCCGGTTTTATAGCTGAGGAAACAGCTCCCAGGGAGTTTAAGCTGGTGGTTCTCGGGTTCTCTGTGGGCCATGCTGTCCCCAGGGGCTTTGGCAGTGTCATCGGGCTCTGACTGTCACTGCTGAGCTGGTGCTTCTGGTGTCTGGTGGGACGGAGGCCAGGGGTGCTGGTACACAGGCTGCAGCGTCCCCACCACCCAGTTGTCTGGCTCAAACGCAGGTCACCTGGCCCGGGTGCAGGAGCCCTGAGGTCTCCTGTCCAAGGTTTGTAGCCAGAGGAGGTTGAGTGCCCAGCGGTGGGGGGGGGTCAGTGCCACTGGAGCCTCCCCGAGAGTCTGGACGTGCCACCAGAGCCCCACTGTGACCACCCAGCCTGGGGGCTCAGCTCGGGTCCTGGAGAGGGAGGAGGACCCAGGTGGCCCACCAGGGGCCACAGTTACAGGCAGGCGTGTCACAGACACGGGAGCCACCTGGAGGGTCGGGGTCCTGGTGCCCGGGAGTTCCCAGATGTGGGAGGCGGCTGTGGCCTGGGCCCCTCTCCCCGTCCCAAGCTGGAGAGCTGCCGTGGGAGAGGACACGGAACTTCCAGAATTCAATGAGTTTTGCGAAAGCTRAAAGGAAATACGACCCCATCTTCCAGAACCACGAAGGTGGGACCTGGATAGGAGGGGGAGGGAAGGCGACTCGTCCCCTGGCCTCAGGCCCCMGGGGACAGGCACTCCTGGAGCTGGGGGTGGCAGGAAACAGGTAAAAGGGGCTGTGGCTGGCTGGGGCTGTGGTTGGGGTAAGGCCCTGAGCCCAGGACCGTGCGGTCAGGACAGAGGGGCAGGTGGGGCCTGAGACCCTCGGGGGACACACACCAGGCGTTGGGGCTTGGGGCTCCACTGGAGGAGGTGGTCCTGTGAGAGTAAGGGGTGCTGTGGGTAATGCAGAGGAGGGGCTGCGCTGGAGGAGCCCCGCAGAGCCCTCCTGGAGGCTCAGTGGCATGGAGTGGGCTCTGGTGCAGCCCGCAGTGTGGTGTGGACGGGCCCTGGTGACAGGTGTGGAAGGAGGGCATGGACGTGACCCAGCTGGAAGTCCCCTTGGCCAAGGCGGCACCCGTGCAGAGGGTGGTGCTGTCCACTAGGCCACGCACSCAGTGTCTTTCCACGGAGGCAGAATGTACCCAACGACAGATTCAYAAGCCACGCCCCTTTCAGAGGTTGCGACTCCCAAGTCCCCGTGGACCCCCTGGTAGTCGCTGGCCAGAGAGTCGCAGGTGCTCTGATCCACTCCATCCTGGTTTCTAATCTGTGTCACACTCCAGCCACGCGTCACACTGCACAGGTGACTTGTCTGAGTTACAGAAAGGCTAAGAGAGAGGGTTGAGGTGGCCACGGGGCCCGGAAGCTGCCCCGAGGACAAAGGCGGAGAGCAAGAGTGGCTGCAGTGCTCAGGGGGACGAGGGGCCGCTGAAGGCTGGTCGGGTGCAGYGCGGGCAGAGCACAGGGCTCCCTCTCGGCCGGGGTCCAGGGGCAGGCAGGCGGTTGCAAGGTGGGCCTTGTCGAGCAGGAGATGCAGCCKAGCTGAAGCTTGGGGACAGAGTCCGAGGGTCACGGTGACCTCCTGTGGACCTCATGACCCCTTCACAAGATGGTCCGATGATGGCGGGTGCGTGCCCACACCATGGGTCTTGGGGTGCTCCTCCTCCGTGCTCTCCTGCGAGGGGCTTGCTGTCGTCGGAGCTCGGGGTGTTTGATCGGCTCGTGGGCCTGGTTTCTCTGAAGCGGGTTGATGTGCTGTGTGCCGGATGGAGTTCCAGAAACTCACAGGTGGTCACTCTTGTGAGCACAATTAGTTCATCATTTTGTTGTGCAGGCAGATGGTGGTTGGCGACTTGTACAAACAGGCGGAGCTCGTTGCTGCTGCTTAACGGAACCCGGCGCTCAGGGTGAGGCCCGGCCYGAAAACCGCCGTCCTGTACCCGGTGCGGGAACTCAGAGCCGGGCGCAGGCTGCTGTCCACAGCCGGGGAGCAGCAGAGTGCAGGGGCCGTGTCCACTGTTTCTAGAGTCTGTTAGACAGAGGGGCTGGGAGGCTCCGTGTGAAGGAAGAGGAATTCCGCACCCTTTCTCCCTTTCTCTCGGTGCTGGGCGTGAAGCCAGGGCCCGGGCATGCCATGCACGTGCTCTGCCACCGAGCTACACCCTGTGTCCCCTTGTCCCCGGGCCTTCTTGGAGCGAAGGCTGCCTGTGTCTGGGGAGGGGCAGCTCTTGGTCCACCTCGCCGCGTGGCCCCCAGCTCCGCGCTGCCCGGGGTGGGACTCCTGAAGTCATTCTCTCCTCCTTCTCGGGGCTCAGAGGAAGTGAGTGGCTTTCAAAGGGGGCTTGGTGTGGCCTGTCGCGTTTCCTGTGATTATTACTGAGTACAGTCTTTAGTCCAGCCTGTCTCCTCGAGGGGCCTGCCAGCGGTCTGCCGGGCGGGGAGCCGTTCGTCCTGCATTGAGTCTTTTTTTTTTTTTTTTTTTTTTTTGCGTCATGTTAAAATCTCCTGGAAACTTCACTACAGTGGAACAGGAACAGGGACAGGGAGTGACTTGGCCCCGCCAGGCCCTTGGGAGAAGTGGCCAGCTCCCAGCCCCCACCTCACAGACTCCCGGGCCTCGCCTGGCCTCCACCCCACGCTCACTAGAGGCTCTCTGCTCCGAATTCCCGTCTCACCTGGTGGAATGAACATCTATCGCACACCTGAAGTTGCTCACCGCGCTGCTCCTGTCCGGGTGTCAGAATAATTAGGGGTGTGTGTGCGCCGTGTGTCTGTGCGCCGTGTGTGTGTGTGCGCCGTGTGTGTGTGTGTGTGTGTGTGTGTGTGTGTGTGTGCGCCGTGTGTGTGTGCGCCGTGTGTGTGTGCACCGTGTGTCTGTGCGCTGTGTGTGTGTGCGCCCTGTGTGTGCGCCGTGTGTCTGTGCGCCGTGTGTCTGTGTGCCCTGTGTCTGTGTGCTGTGTGTCTGTGCGCCGTGAGTGGCCCAGGCCAGCTGTGTGGCTGGAAATGCTGCTTTGATTGCTTCCCCCGGCCCCAGCTGGCAGAGAGCAGGTACTGCCCGCTCCGGTGTCTCCCTCCTAATACGTGGTCTCATCGCATCACGTCGTGCCCTTTAAGGAAGCCTTCGTTCCTCCTTCGTGCATTAGCTGGACCTCACTGCTCAGGTTCCCAGTAAGGGCTGCTTCACTCCCGGGAGTATTTGCCCTCTCCTTGTTGCCTCGAGGCTGGGCACACCTCAGCAGCCCCAGGCGGGTGTGGCTGGGGTCTGGAGCTGTTTGTCTGTCCTGCCTGCCGTGGGCTAAGAACGCACAGCCCTCGGCTTCTAGGTCTGTCTGTGGCTTTTGCATCGTTGAGGGTCCTCCCTGGGACACCTGTTCCCTGAGTTAGGGTTCCTCCTGGTGCAAAGGAAGAGTGGGACCAGCAGGAGTTCCCAGCGTCCCCCGGCTCTTGGGCACCCGGCACCCCAGGAATGACTGATGGCTGTGGCAGGCAGCCCCACAGAGGCCATCTGTCTGGGCCGCAGGACGGCACACACCCAGGCARTGGGGCTCCTGTCCTCCCTGGTGACATGGGCAAACATGGGGCAGGTGTCACATGCACGAGCGAGGGTGTCCAGGGCTGGCTAGTGAAGAGCTGAAGTGGTCAGCTGGTTCCAAGCTGAGAGCAAACCCAGCTCCATTTATACAGTGACCCCCTGACCCTGGGTCGAGAGGGTTCTGAGCTCTGTCTGGGCCCAGGGGAGAAGGATGCTGGGACCGGGGACAGGGCACCAGAGAGTGGGGACAGGGCACCAGAGAGTGGGGAGGGCCGATTGCTGTGTGCTTGGCATCTGGAGCAGACGCTCTTCCATGCCGCCCTTGGGTCATTTCAGCCACCTCCTCCCACTGGGTACCCCGCGGTAGCTGGTTAGCGCTCGGTAGCCATTTTAAAGTATTCGCCTTGAGGAATGCCAGCATCCTAGCTCCTCACAGGCCCTCCTGACGGCCCTGGTGACCAGGAAGCACTGCCCCGGATTCTGAAGTCAGTGCTGTGGAGCCATCGCAGAGCCGCAGGTGAGGCTGAGCCTGGTGCTGCGTGTCTGAGATGTGGCCACCCAGGAGGGCAGCGGGAGGCCCTGCTGTCCCCTGGGTATCTGCCGGCTTCCYAGCCAGCGTAAGGAGTCTGAGAACCTCAGGAACCTGAGCAGTTTCTTGGGCTTGAGTGTTGGGGGTCGGCCATGTGCTTCTCTGAGCTTCTGAGCACGGCTGCAGCAGGCAGAGAGTGGCGGGGCCCTTGATCTTGGGGTCTGACCCTGACTTGCCGTCGCCCAGAATCCCTCAGTAAGGTGGGCTCCCCGGGGAGCACCAGCTACAGCTGATTCTTTTGAGAAGTCAGCCTGTTCTTTTGACAGGTCATGCATTTGAGAATTTGTGATTCCAAAGACTTAAAGGTGAAGTTAAGAAAAGGTTCAAGAGCGCACAGACTCCGGAAGGYCGGGCCTTCGCCGCTGCTGAGCCCCAGCTCCCGAAGCAGCTGCCTTTCCCAGCAGCCAGGTCCCTGGGTTGGTCCTGCTTCTCAGGTTACTGCAGGGAGCTGACAGCCCCAGGCCACTGTCTTGGCTCTGTGGGTAGAGTGTCCCCTGGGCAGGAGGAGGCCTGGGCCCTGCCTCCCGCGCAGAGGGCGTTTGTAACTTATTTTTGATATCAAACGACGTGAGGGACATCTTTCCCAAAGTGTAATTGAAAGTGTCTTCATGTCCCTCTTGTAAAAGCAACGTTGACCTCCAGGTGAGTCCTGCGTGGTCCGTCCTCCTGCAAGCCCCTGAGAAGGAGGGAAGCCGAGAAGTGGGACTGGGCCAGGGCAGTCCACTCTGAGCTCTGCCTGGCGCTCCTGAGGCTCTGTGCTCTGAGCTCTCTGTGACTTGACCTCGTTTCCTTCGCGGCTGGGGAGTTTGCCATCTTCTAGGGGAGCTGAGAGTGCCCGCAGTGGGCTTCCGTCCAGGGCTGCGCTCTCCATTGCCATGGGAAGACACATTCAGCTGGAGTCCCCGGTCCCCGCTGGCACCTGCTGAAGCCACCGTGTTCCTGGCTTTGGAGCCACTCTGTGTCCCAGAGCAGGACACCCTGGAGGAGCCGTTAGATCCAGTCTGTGCTGACCGGACTCCTGGGCGCTGATAGACCCAAGACTCAGCCCTGTGGCTTTACGCTGTCCTGGGACCACGTCTGGATGCCCCTTGGCCGTCTGTCCAGCCTGTCCAGCCCCAGCCCTGGGCTCCGCTCCCCCTTCCTTCACTTCCTGTGGGATCTGTGGTCTTGGTGGCTGGGAGGTCTCACCTCACTGACCCTTTGCAGCACCTTTCTGCTTCCCCAGGGTGGACGGGCCCAGCCTCCGTGGGCAGGGCCTCTGTCCACCTGCAGGTCACGTCTGTGAGCTTCTTTGTGAGTCMGTTGGCCTGTGCCTGTCTCCTGCCAGCCCGTCCCCAGGTCTGCTCTGTTCCCGTTTCTCTGGGGACTGTGATAAGGACCATCCCGGCCACTTGAGTGGCCTTTGGGTGTCTATGCAGATATGTGGTCTGCATGGTGGCCAGGAGCACCCATCTGGGCCAGGCTGYAGGGTGTGAGCCCTGGGCTCTGACCCTGCCCTGGGCCTCAGTTTCCTCTTCTGAAAAGGGCACTTGTTTCTTATGGCCATTAGGGAAGAATTAAGTTATTAAACGAAATGATGTAGTGACTTCTGAGCCTGTTCAAGCCCTGAATGAGGGCCCTGGCCAGACACCTACTGGTCACAACTCTGCCTGGTGAGGTGCCTGCTCAGGGGAATGGGGACCAGGGCCTGTGACCTTGAGATGCATCAGCAAAACGGTGGCACGGCAGACCCCAGGTGTCTACACCCACGCCTGGAATCAGAACTCGTGTCACCCTACGTGGTCAGGGGACCTCGCAGGTGTGACGAGGCTGAGGGTCTGGAGATGGGGGATCAGCCTGGCTGTCTGGGTGGGCCCAGGTCCTCACCAGGTGGCGTTTGATTTGCAGTGATGGGGCCGGCCCCCAGGGCCTCCTGTGTGTCCAGAGAAGGCTCCACTCGAGCTGCACCCCTGGCTGTGGGAGGGCCCCTCTTAGAGGGAGTCGGGGGGCCACGGTCACAGAGAGGTGATGAAAGCAGACTTTGGGGTGACGTGGGCCTTGAGCCAGGGGTGTGCGCTGTGGGAGCTGGAGACAGGAAGTGCACCCCACCTGGAGCTTCCGGAAGGAACTGGCCCTGCTGACSTTTCAGTCTCGCCCTCGGGTCCCGATCTGGACCTGGGACACCTAGACTACAAGAGAAGGGATCTATAGTGTCCTGCGTCCCTGCGTCGGTGAGGACTTGCCGATGGTCGCAGTCACTGGAGACTGGCCACATGCCTTCTTGTCGGCCGGTCAGAACCAGAGCGGGCGAGGTGTGCCCACCCTCGCGTCCTCATTTCTAATGGTGCAGCCCAAGGTGCGCTGGGCGATGAGTGGGAGTGCGTGTGGTCCCCCATTCTCGTGGAACGTCCACAGCTCGCACACGAATGCTCAGGGCAGGCAGATCCCAAGAGCAGAAAGCAGATCCCCGGTGGCCGGGGGCTGGGGGCTGGGGAAGGGCTGCAGGGTGGGGACAGGGTTTCATTTTGGGTAGGTGCAGATGTCCTAGATAGATCTTATCAATGCCTCAGACTCAYTGAACCGTGCACTTTCAAGGGCAAAACTGCCTGGACTGGGAATTCTTTCTCAGTGAAGCTGGGCGGGGTGCAGCGATTCTGGGTGCTCTGAGGTCCGGCTTGGAGCGCCTCGTTTTCTTAGCCTGGGGTGAGGACGGGATGGAGACCACGTGGCCCTGTGCAGCTTTCTTTCTTTTCTGCATCTTCATGTGACTGTCCCTGCAGTKGGGACAGCAGTCACCCATAGGGTGCTGGGCAGAGGCCGGGCTGGGCGCTGTTCGTGGAGAGTCACAGCAGCAACACCGACCCCCCCACTTCATGAACGCCCACTCACCCACCCGCGTGTGGATCTCCAGCTTCCCGCAGTGACATCTCACCGCCAGGGAAGGACGCTGGGTTGCTGTCCCTTGGCATTAAAGAAACGCGCGGCCACAGCTCCCGAAACCTGTCTTCTGACCCCCAGGGTCAAGACGCTGGTTTTAAGTGTTGCTTGGAGCATGGTGGAGAGGACACCTGAGCTGGTCGTGGAAGGGCCCTGTGGGCTTGGGGACACTCCTGCTGGGCCTGGGTCTCAGTGCCACGTCTGGTCACGCAGTCGCTGCAGTAACCAGTCCTCCAGGCCTGGGGCCACTCAGCTTCTTTCCTGGGCCTCCCTGAGAGCAGGTGCCAGTCAGAGGGTGGGCACCACGGAGTGGGCCTGCTGGAGCCGGGCCCTGTCCTGGGACTGGTGGGCCGCGGCCCTTCCTGGACTTCTGCCCGGTCCTGCTGGCCACGGTGCGGTCCCCTTGAGTGCCCTTGGCACCTCTGCTGTGTGGGTTGTTTCTGGACTCTGAATTCTCTCTGCTGGTCTGTGTGTCTGTCTACACCAGCGCCCACTGTCCTGTCACCATGATTGTTTTGGCTTTTTATGATCCTGTGGGTTCCCTAGGAATTTTAGGGTGAGTGTTTCCATTTCTGTAAAATCTGCCCTTGGGATGTGGGTAGTTTGTGCTGAACTTGAAGGTTGTGTTGTCCTCTCACAACGCACAATGCCAGGCCTCCTGGTCCAAGCGCATGGGCTGTCTGCACTGTTTAGCCTTCCCTGATWCCCTTCAGCCATGCGTACAGGTTTTGGGGTGCGGGTTTGCCTGCCTGGGTGGGCTCATCCTAGGGTTCACGTCTCGATGCTGTGGTGAAGGAATGGTTGCCTGTGTCATTGTCACTGGGCTGGGCCGTCGCCGCGTTCTGCCCTGCAGGGTCGTGTGCTGCCCACTTCTCCCAGAGGCCAGGAGCCCGCCACCTGGGGCAGGACCCTCAGCACATCAGGAGAGCTGGTGTGGGGCTGGCCATTCGCCTTGCCCGCCGTGGGACGTCACTGAGACCCYGGGGGACGTGCCCCTGCTGGGCATGCTGCCTGCAGTGAGTCCTGAGGTGGGCCAAGTCGGTCCCAAGCAGCCACCAGCTCATCTGATAGAGGTCCAGAGCCGGGGCAGTGGGCGGCCSATGGTGGTCATCAGGCTGGTCTTGATGGCCGTGTCTCCCTGGTGGCCCAGGGGCCTGGTGACAAGGGGCGCTGTGGGCACCTTTTCTGCTGRTGGTAGTGGGTGGTGTGCCCACTGGGGAAGGTTCCTGAGGCCTTGCTGGGGGCCCTGGGGGCTTATCTCCCTCTGCCGATTTGGGAAGAGCGTCGGGGTGGGGGGGGGCTGGAGACTTGGAGCCCGGGGCCAGGTCTGCTTGTGGGAGCCTCGGGGTCCTTTTCCTTCCCCCCTCTATGGTCGACAGGTGCCGAGTGCGTCCTCGGAGCCGGCACCGTCCTCAGTGCCCCCCGACAGCCCCGTGGGGGGCGCCACCATGACCCCGTTCCCAGATGCCGCTCAGAAGCCAGGCTGTCTTGCCCAGCACCCCGCTTCGCGCAGCGGACTGGGTGACAGCTGATGTGCCCCAGCCTCAGGCTGCACTTGGCACCTGTCACCCGCCTGGGCCCCGCTGCCCTTCCCATCTGTCAGATGTGCCTGTCTCAAGGGGAGCCGCTCAGGACCACACCCGAAGCCCTGGGAAGCGTTTGGGGGCCCCGAGGCGGCTCCAGAACTCAAGCTGAAGGACGTTTGGGCGGTAACCATGGGAACCTGACCCGTGACTGTAACAAAGTGGAAATGGGTCAAGTGTAGCTCCGGGCTTCCCATCCTGCCTTTGCGGCCCTCCTGGGAAGTCCTGCAGGGCACACCTCTGCCCTGGGACCCCTGAGGGACAAGCGGCCGCTGATGGAGCATGTGGTGGCCAGACCACCTGGTCGGTCCAGCCTGGGCTTGAGCTCCGACTGGCGCTGCCCGACGTGTGCCCGGGCGCCGCCTTCCCAGACGCAGGCCTCGGTCTCGGAGCCAAACAGCCCCCTGCGCCTCAGCCCTGGTCTCAGAT